GAATTTGAGGTCAAGCAACTTGAGTAATGATTGCATTGAGTTCAATTATTTTATTACACAATCTTAGCCTGCATGGTTTACGAGCGTAAATTGAATCTTTTTATTTTTCATTAGTTTTTTAAAATCTAATGTATGCATATAAATAAAATTATAATTGATCTCAAATAACCAAAATACATAATCAGCTATAGTTGGAAAGGGAATTCTATCACAAAACTACCGCTTTATGCTATAAAACAAATATAGTCCGTGTTTAAATTTTAGGTATAATACTAAGAGCTCTTAAATTATTTAAAATATTTCAATTAGTTATTATTTTTTAAGTTAAATAAATTTTTATAATTAATTATTGATTAATAATCAATCAAAAAATTATTTATTATTTTATATCATATGACGTTAATATAATATGTTGATATGTCATAATGGAATGACATAACATTTAATAATATAGTTCTGTGATATTTTCACGTTATATGTTAATGTCATATTAACACAAATGTAAATATAAAATAATAAATAGTATTTTGATTAATTGTTATTAATTATAAAAGTTTATTTTATTTAAAATAAGAATATAAAAAAAATAAAAATTTATTTAAATATTTTATCAATAATAAAACGACTCTTATAAGTATGTTCTTAAACTTTATCCCTCTTTAATTAAGATTAGAATGTGACTCTTCCAAAAAAAAAAAGAAATTAAGATTAGAATGTGACATTTGTCCAAGTTGGTGTTTAAAATTTTATCCCGTTGAAATGAAGTGGACAGGGATCCAAAAGGAGATTTGGTTACCTTCTAATGAGCTCAAAGATACTGTCATTGGCTTCTCTTATGGATCCACATCATTAATTATAAAAATTTGCCTCCCAAATCTCTAACTGCGGATTGAATACAATTTAAATACTAAAGTAACACGAATAAACAAAATAAAGCTTAGCTCAGCGAAGACTTTCAAAGGGGTTTCGGGCCACCCGAAGACTTGCATGACGACATTCAAATGATGTCACATTTTAGCCGCCTGCTTTAAACCACCATTAAATTCGAGACAAGCTTTGCAAGGAGTCATTTCACAAATATTTTAATTTTTTTATTAACCCTGTTCTTTTCAATTCGTGTGAAAGAGACCAAATAAAGTATAGATTAAAGGTCATGCAATGGATTTGGATCACAAGATAGGCTTTCAATTTGTTGTTTAATCCAGAGGCGGTTCAATAACTTTAAAAGTTGAAAATTAAATATTTAAATAAAATCTTTTTTATTAAAATTAAAAAAATTAATAAAATTTTTATTTAAATTTTTAATTCAATAAATTAATTATTATATAAAATAAAGATAATATAATAATATAATATAATCTTCAAATTAAAATAAAAATGTTTATAAAGATTAGAATAATAATATCTAATTGTTGAATGTTTATTGCAAACAATAAATGAGAGACTCTATGAAAATAATAGCATAATAGATTTCTTGGGTATTCTTTAGAGATAATTAAATACGTTAAATGATTGAAAATAGAAGAAATAGTTGAGAAAAAAATTTGGAGATCATTTAATACATATTAATATTAGTTAATTGGAAATAGTAAAAATAATTGAGAATTAATAGTATTGTAGGAATTGAGAAGTGATAAAAAAATTTAAATTTATTAAGCACATAATTAAAAAAGTAAGAGGATATACTATTTTATTAATTATCTTGACTTTTACATGAAAAATGAATCAAATGAGAATTAATAAGAATGCGAAAGGAGAATAAAATAGATATCTATTAGACTTTAAGAAAATAAATAGATATTTTATTTATATTTTTAATATAATTAATTATATTATTATTATAAAATTAAAAGTCTATAAAAATATGGTCTAAAGTCCCCGCTCTGGTGGGCTTTACACTTGAGTTGGCGCTGGTTTAATGGTAAGGTTAATTTCTAAAGTCTTGAACATTAATAAATTAAGTTGGACACATATTGAGTTTTAAATGCGAGTGCAATTAATTGTCCTATATGGAACTAAGGTGAGATATGAAAATGATATATATGTCTGACGGTCCAATACATAATCGATTAATTATATTATAATATTTGTAAAGATATAGTAAGATATAAATTAAGGTGAAAATAAGGATAAAATTAGTCAATTTTTTTTAGGAGATCAAAGATGAAGAGGAATAAAGGCTAAAATTTTTTAAAACGAATATGTTGCATTTAAACAATAATCAAAATATTTATAATAGATAATAATTTTATATAACATATAAATTAAAAAAAATAAAAAAAACTTACCAAGAAGTTATGCTCCATAATATTTCCTAGATTTATAAAATATATTGCATAAAATATAAATAATTAAATACAATATATAAAATTTTATATAATGGTTAAATATATAAATAATTAAATAATATAAAAAGAAAGAACATGATAAAAGAAAACTTTAGTTCTTCTTAATTTTACGCAATAGTGGTGAGTAGTCTTTGTTCGAGCTCACAAGTTCACAAATCTCTTTTAAAGAATGAAGTGCGTTTGAGTAGTGAGTTAAATATGAGAGAGTAACGTAAAAACAAAAAAAAAAAAAAAAGAGAAAGAGAAAAAGAAAAAGAGGAAGAAAGAGGCGTGAATAAACTTAAGAATAAGAGTAGTTCTCTTATGCATTTATTTTTCACACAAATAAAGTAAAGAGTAAGAGATCAAAAGAAGTAATTTTGTTATCAGCTGATGTTAATTTTGGTAGCGGAAGTGTCATTTTTTATTGTTTCTACATTGTTCCTGTTTATCTTATTCACTTTTGTTAATTTGAAAGTGACCTTAAATGTATGGAACAAATGAAATTTTTTTCTTAGTTGGCGATGGCAGACATTAAATTGAAAGGTGTCTAGGTATGAATTCCTCTCAATATATAACTAGAATAATGAATAAAAGAAATCACAAAATTGGTGGAGTAAGTTGAATAGTCAAAGGGGTGATTGAGATGGTAATTTTGCTCGAAAATTGGTTGATGGTACCATAAGAAATGGTAGGATATATCTAGAGGTTGCGAGGAGAGCTATACCAAGGGATGCAATGAACAAATCAAACTTTTTGATGAAAAATGATAAGAAAATGAGAAGCTAGCATTAGTTTAGAGGTAGTTGAGAAACTTCCAAATTCGATTTAATTTGATGTATTTATCTCAGAGGAAGATTTGGAATGGTTGAATAGAATTGCTTATGATGTATTAAGGAGTTATGGTTACTCTAAGGCTCTATAAGAGACATTAGTTAATGATGGTATCTATTGTACTGTAAGATTGTTGGGGAGCCTATTTTATTCTAATTTGCTTTGAGAAAAAAGATATGGTAGAATTTTTAAGCAATTGTGTACATTTGTTTAAGGCTTGGTTTCAAATTATTAAACTTTGGGATGTTTCTGTTGTCAGAAAAGATAAATTAGCATGGATTAATTTAGAGGATGCTCCTCTGAATCCTTAGAATGGAAGTTTCTTTTCTATGGTTAAAAATGATTGGGGATCTTTGTGATTGTGGATGGTAGTACTCATAAGAAGTTAAGGATCGATATGGCAAGAATTCTAATTATTGTGAAAAAAAGTTATATTATTCCATCTTCATTTGTGGTTGGCAAGAATTCTAGTTTTTGTGAAGAAAAGTTCTATTATTCCATCTTCATTTGTGGTTTCCTTCGAAGGTGAGTTTTTCATTATTATTGTCCCGGTGGAGCCTAGCCATAAGTTTGTAAACTTCAACTTGGGATCGAAAATGCTTTACTTAGGTGGTGATAATAGAAGAGGAAGGCTTAAGTGATTCTTCAAATGTTACGATGAGAGACACCGGTTGTTTGGGATTCTTTTAGTGTTAAGATGAAAAAAGTACTATATGCACATAATATGGTATCAGAGTTTCAAATTTAATAAATAAAATTTTTTTCTTCTTTTAATATGATATCAAAATTATTAATGACAATCTTTGTTTCACATGCTTCGCATGTCAATCATTCTTATCTCATGCATCGATTGCCCATGTTACCATGTATTGGCATATTTTGCCATTGCAACTTATTTGAAATGCTAGCTACCATGTGTCTTTGTAAGTCAATTATTTGTGTCGTATTTTGCAACACCACTAATCAAGCGCTTTGTCACATTTATCTTTTATGTCGTGTTTCGTCATATTACTTGTCATACGTTTTGTCACATTTATCTTATAGTTCATCATGTCATTGTGTTCCGTCACATTACTTACCATCTATATCATGTTTCATCATGTCACAACTTAATCAGACAAAACGGTCGATGATTTTGAGATAGAGGAAGGAGTTGTCATATGCATGGTTGAAGCAGTTGAGTGCATATTCTCTAGAACCTTTTTTTTTTTTGACAAGTCGTCTTTTATTTATTTAAGAAAACCGACAACTAACTTGTATATTGAAATTGTATACAAAAATTTACAAGAAAAGAAAGTTTTTGTATTATTGAAATATATGTTATAGATAAATTTAAGCAATATATAAAATTAATCCTATTTATAGTTTAATTGTAACTAGCTAATGATATTATAATATAACTCTATTAAATAGTATAATTTAACGAAATAATAGTATTATATAATAATTATAATTAAATAATTTATATCAATATACTAACAGGATTGAAGGTTTATTGCATTTGGTCTATTTTGGATATTTATGTTGTGGTTTAAGCTCATGAAAAGTGCTCTCTTGGTGAAAATATAATGGCGCTTAGTTTCTAAATTTGTTAAATAAAAATTATTTTGCCTTAAAAAAAGTTTGATTCACGTTAATAAGCAAATTATTCATTTGATGCATCAAAGAAAAGATACAAAGTCAATCCGTCTTGAAAGAAAAAACCCCCACATATTAATTATCTTACATTCTTATTAAAATTGTTGGAACAAAGTATTTCACAACTGATTGCCCTTTGTGTTCTTCCTTCATTTTGAACTTACTAGCATTTATTAGTGACCAAAATTTTACATGTTAAAATCAAGAATGATCAAAATCCTGAACGTGAATGTTTAATCTTCGAAGCCAAATAGAGTGAGTAATCATGTGGAAGACATCATACCTCTTGGGAGTTGCATTCACCACGAAGTGCCTTTGAACTTGTTTCACTCTCCTTTGCATTCTCAAATATTGCCTTTGAGAAATGCCCATCAGGATCTTCTTGATGTTTGGTATGTCCTTGACCGCAACCTGAACTGAGAATGAATTCCAATTCAGGACATCGCTGAAAGGGGGCACATAGCTGTCTGAAATCAGCACTGGAACACATTCTGCATAGATAGCCTCCACAATTCTGGGGCTTGCTACTTCATATCCACTCGGGCATAGGCAAAACCTGCTGTTCTTCAGCTTCGACATGTATGAAACTCCCTTGGGAAGTTGGTCAAAGACTTGGACATCAGGATCCCGTTTGTCTTTCCACTCATTCAGAAGGAGGTACCTGATGTAGCCGTGGAGACGGCCAGCGAAAAAGGCAAGAATGGACCGATGAGAGGGAGAAGGACCGCCTAATAGCCCTTCCACCTCACCTGTTAAAAGATTGATTTCTGGAAATGAGGCATCTTTAGCTGGATTAAATCCTTCAGAAGTGTTTGCGTTACATAAAACTCTAATGGACTTGTGGTACAAATGAGGAACATAGGAAGATGCACGCGGCCCCTGGAAAATTAAAATCAATCAACCAGCAAGTGGAAAATAATCATAAAAATTCATGTTAATTTGCTAGCTATGACTGCAGCTTCACAATTTTTACATGTTTATAACTCAAACAAATGCTACTAGGCCAGCGCAGGGTGGTCTAATGCTAATTGTTACTAATATGTTCGTCAACAAAAAGGGCTGATTGGGCTTGGAGGGTCCAACACAATTACATACCCAATCATGGCAGGAGAGCATGACATGGTCCGCACCAAGGCTTCGATTCCAGTAGGGATGTTTACCAGCAATGACATCGATGTAGTCTACAACAGCCCGTCCAATGGCATCGGTGTCAAAGGTTTCAGGATCGTAGAGATAATGAACCAGCATGACAACACTGAATGGAAGGAAATAAACCAATGCCTCATCGGGGTCTTGGGTTCTATAAAATTTGCCCTTTTCCAATTCATGAATGAACCTTCCCTCTGAGGAATATATGCTCCTGCATGGACCGTTATGGAATATTGGTGGCTCTCCTTCCTGGTACACATAAATCTTGAAGAGCTTCTCCATCTCTAAGTAACTCCTATGAATTATTTCAAATGAATCGAAAGTTTAATTGTGATAAAAAAAAAGTAGTTAATAAACGGAGAAATTTGTTTGAATTGAATAAATACCTATGAAAAGCATTTGGATTCCTGTATATTGGGCCATGAGGCACGTAGTCTTGGTCTTGATGGATCGATGTCAAATTCCTAACTAGAGCAGCCTCTTTTATGGAGGAACGGGCTCTTGCCAAATTTGCTTCAAGCCTCTCCAACTGGCTGTATCTCTTTACAACTCTTGTTGTGGATGTAACATCAATATCTTCAGATTCGTTATTCTTCGACATGTGGCGCTTTTGTCCACAGTTTAGAAGAAACAGCATCATAAAGACTTTTTCAGTTTAGAATTTAATGCCAAAGTGAAATGAAACAAAAAGGAAAACATAAAAAGGTTTAAGAGAAAAAGAAATTCTTACAAGTTGAACTGTTTCTTTCTCAATAAATGCGACTGAAAAGGACCTGTGGGAGGCAAAATAATCTGTTTCGGCTTCCAGGAAAGAAGAATCTGTCGAGGATCCATTGAAGATGGAAGATCCTTTGATCACTATGGAATTATTAGTCCGTGCCTTGAAGTCGGAAATGTTAGTTGGAGTTTCTTCAATTAGTGAAGGAGGAGAGAAACCAAAAGAATTAGAAACCAAGTTGCCAAATCTCCATGTCCATGGAGACAAAGAAGATGGCTCTGGTGTCAATGCAGAAACAAGAACTAAGAACACAACCAAAGGTATTACAAGGAATAAAACTAAATTCAATGAAGAAGACCAGAAAGATGAAGGTGGACTATGAGGCTTGTCATTGGAAGGTCTCATAACTTCAGTCTTCAATAAAATGCTCTGTTCTAAACTTGTATCAGAAACCGAAAACAACGAAACTTAAGTTGCTGAAGCAGTAACAGGCGGTGGGATTCATTTCTTGATTTCTGGTTATTCTTTGCTGCCCGTCAGAGATATCCTCGAAAGGTGATTCTGCGGCTACAGCTTTTTAGTGTAACGTTCACACACAGTAAATGAAGTTTCTTTAAGTTGACGCTTCCCGTTTGATTCTAATTAGACACTTAATGCAGTCAATTCCATGTTGGAGGAATGAAGTTAATCCCAAGAGAGGCATGAAGATGAGAATGCATGGATTTTAACCTTAGCGAAATAACAAGTAAGATCAGGTGATTCAAAGCACCATTTCCCAAAGCACCCAAATAGTTTAATTTCTCTAAAAATTGGCAAGGACTCCTGTAGCAAAGTTGAGATTGATGACCACTACTTAGGAGGATGCCTTTGGATCTGGGTTGGGGGCCGTCGCCATCACGGACATTGGTGCATAGGATTTAGAGTCATTATAACTCTTTTTTGAGACTTGGGCGAACTTAGATAATAATACACTCAATTCAACGTAAAGAGTGCAAATGGTAGGGTTCGAGAATGAATCATTTGAGGTAGTTTTTTGTTCCACTTAAGTCAGCTTCGGACTGTTTCCAAATCATACCGTTTTGAGTTCAAATTTTCTTCAGACTAAATTATTTCGAGTTCGGATAGATTCGGGTTTGATTTGAATGAACATAGTAGTTAAATTTTAAATTTTATAAAAAAAAAATCATTTGATTACAAATTTTTAGTAATTAAATTTTATATTCTGTAAAAGATTTTTTTTTATACTGAAAATTCTCGCAGGACCCAGCTATCTTGTTAAAGTTTTATTAATTAAAAAAGAAAGTACAAAAGGAAGGGGGCATAAACCATACCTTCAAAGTTACATGAGAATTATGATCATTATGATCAATTGTAAAATAATAAAAAGCACCTTGTAAAGAGATTACTTCCCATGCATAGTAGTTTAGAATGCATATGGAGAGCAATACTACTTTATTACAAATAACTAAAAGAAAAACAGAATAGTAAATTAGGGGTACTACTCTTTTACATTTATTTAAAACGAACATTAGGTAAATTTAATTTATCTAATCTAAGGATTCCTTTGAGCTCATCTGTGGCTTGTGAAAATACTTGCAGATTCTGATATGTATATCCCAGATTGGAGAGATGATCAGCTGCCTGGTTCCGTTCTCTATGAATGTGTGAAATTCAAAAAGATAAACGGCTCAAGCATTTGCGAATAGAGGCCAACAAGTATCGAGTCTCAGAGGAACCTTTATGTCCCTCATGTATCATTTGTATAACCACTTTCGTATCCATTTCAATCCAAACTCTAGATACATTGTACTCAACACATAAAAGCAAACCACGATGTAGTGCCATTAATACTACTTGCAACGAATTATAAGGTCCAAAATTTTCAGAGAAGCCAAAAATCATATTACCTATATGGTCCTTAGGGAGCCTTCCCCCAACAGCATTTTGAAAGGCATCTTTGGAACTACCATCAACATTCAACTTAAATTCACTTATCGATGGTTTATACCAATAAATAATTTTCTGTGAATCAGGGCTTTTTGGTGTAAACTGAAAACCCCAATTTGTAGCAATATCAAGATCACCCTGCCATTGCCATATACATAATAATTTACCTTGACAAAGCTGCCATAGCATTTTCTTAATCTGCCATATAACCCTATCAGGATACATTCCAAGATTCTTACGCTTTGCATCATTTCTCTCAACCCAAAGAAACCAACATATCAGCAAAGGCAATAGTACTCAAATATGACCAGGTTTAGTATAATCTCCAGAATAATACCAGGAATGAATAATTTGCATAACAGTTTTGAGATTAGTAACATAAATTTTAAAAAATTTTGCAAAGTAATTCCAAACCTGTTGTGCAACCGGACCTTCCCATAACACATGCATAACCATCTCCTCCGATCGGCAATACAAACACTTAGATGCTAATTGGAAGCCTTTTGATTTCATCTGTATATATTTTGTAAAAGATTATTTATTTACAAATTCAATCATTTTTTATATTAATATTAAGTTCAGATTATTAATGTTAGAAAAATAAATATGTCTTTAAATTAAAACACTTCATTGTTTATTAAATTATTAATATTTTTATTTTAAATTTTAATTATAATTATTTTTCTTCACAATAATAAAATTTAATTAATTTTAAAATTTTATACCATAACTTACTATTTAATAGATACGATTTTTTATATTTATTAAAAAAAATTAAAATTTTTTGTTTGATTTAACAATTATGAATACTTGAAATTTTTTATCATTTTAAAAAAATAAACCCAATTCTCAACCAAATGCTCAGTTGGAAAGTAATTAAACATCAATGTTTTTTAGGGACAAAATATGCACCTAATTAGATTTTATGAACAAACAAGAGTAGCAACCACAGCTTAAAAATGAAGTCCAAAAGAGAAACCCATGAATGAAAGCCCAAGTGATAAACAAAAACTTCCTTAATTAAACATCATGGTAATGGTTTAAATGAGTTATTAATTGTGTCATATCATCTAAAATTTGATATGACTCATTTAATAAATATGTCATGTTATCTTACACGTTTAATAAATGTACCTATATAAGTTTATAACCTTAACCCATTTAATTAATCATATTGTGTTTACTCATATAATTATTAATATTTTATGTTTATATAACATGGCTAAGATGTGTGAAAACGAATTGTCAAATTTAGAAAAAAATGAAAAGAAATAATATAAGAGAGATTATCATTTTTAATTCTTTTTCAAAAAATAAATCATTTCAAATTGATAAAATTGGGAGTAAATAACATGGCATATGAGATTATCTGTTTATTTTTAGATTTTACGTTTCTATCTTAATTTATAAAAAATATAATGATAAAATAATATAATTTTTTTCTTTTGTTTAATTTTTCAACTCTACCAATCAATTAATAAATTTAAATAATTTTTTTGTTTTCATCTTTCGAATCAAACATACCAATAAAAGCAAAAAAATATGTTTTCTATTTTTTTTTCTTCTCTAACTTTCTTTCTATTTTTTTTTTATTTTACACAGCCTAACAGAAAAAGGGACACCATGCATGTGAATGTAAGAAAGCCTGAACAGGACTAGAATCAAAGTACATAATTTTAACATACATGAATCCAGATAATCCTTTCTATGAAGGAAAACATATAGGCTACATTCCTATAAATTGTGAACATTTCATAAACTTTTTTAGCATTCTGCGAGTGAAAATTGAAGCTTTAGATAGGGTTCTTTATGAAGCATACAATTCATGTATCAAACACAAATACTAGCTCCATGAAACAATAATTTTTCATGTAAAAGGAGTTAAGCCATTAGTTAATCAAGATAAGTTAGCCAGGACCAAAGGGCATCTCTTTCCAAACAAGAAATACTACCATGACATGATTTCTTAGCTCCAAATCTGATCTGCTATGTTGGCTAGACTTTTTGAATGAAGACATTGAGCTAATCTGCTCTTTCTATGTCGGGTAAGTTTCTGGATGAAGACATGGAACTGAACCCGATTAGGCAGTAGGTAGGCTGCTTTAATCAAATGAAAGGATTGAGGACCAGAAGGCAAAATGCAATTCTTAGCTTTAAAGCCTGTTTTGTTCATATTCTATATGGCTAAAACTCTTGTACATAGACAAGAAACCTGACACTTACCATTAAGTGATTGTATAGGCTTTGGATCAACTATAAATTCATACATTCAACCTACGAAGCCATATTGAATGAATTATCATGTTAAACGCATCATATCCCTCAGGAGGATCATTGACAAAAAATGCCGTTGCACTTGCTTGACATGCTCTAGCATTCTCTGATATTGATCTTCGAGTATCCCCATAAGAATTTTCTTGAGGTTTGGTATTTCACTTAATGGAACTTGGACTGAAAATGATTTCGAATTAAGAACATCACTGAAAGGAAGGACATAATGTTGTGAGATTAATACTATTGTGGAAATCACAAAATTATCCTTAAAGAGTTGCTTAAGATCTTACTCAATTAATAGAACAAAGAAAAAAAATCAAACACACTCATAAGAATACAAGAATTTACGTGGTTCAGTCTTTTAATGACCTACGTCCACGGGCATAGCAATAGAGAAAGATTTAATAAGAGAAAAATCAAGAGACTACAAGAACAATCTTAAACTCACAACCCTTATACCACGTAGACCCAAACCACTCTTTTTAAATCTAAATGATGATTATTCTTTAACCTCATAGGATCCTTTTATAGTGCCAAATATAATATCTTATCTTAAAATAAGTAGGATATGTTACTCTAGTCTAACTAGATTTAAAGACTATCTTAACAAGATATACTAATTTAATTAGAATTAAATAATCCCAATCATACTATAATTCAAGACTGTCCCAATAAATCTCCACCTTAGGCTTGAATTCACCAAGCTCCACCTTACAAACCAATCTTTGTCGACACCGCCACTACCCCAAAGGGCCTCAAGCACTACGTACACTGATCAAGTCCAAGCAATGCTTGAACTTTATCTTAGAAACTGACTTAGTTAACATATTTGTCATATTTTTAGCTGTAGCTATTTTCTTTACTACAATCCCAAGTCTAGAAATAATCTCTCAAACGAAGTTATACTTGACTTGGATGTGTTTGGTTTTCTCATGAAACATTTGAATTTTAGTCAAGTGTATGACACTTTGACTATCACAAAACATAAGTATGTATGCCTATCCAAAACCAAGATCATTAGCCAAGCCTTGAAACCATAAAGCCTCCTTCACTACCTCGGTCATAGCCATATATTCAGCTTCAATTGTAGACAAAGTAAATACTACTTTCCAACTAATTGTAGACCTTGAGAGAGTGAACACATTCCCCATTCAAGATCTTCTACTATTTAGATCACCAACAAAATCTGAATCGGAGAAGCCA